CCCCTTAGGCTTCATCCCAGTCCCCTCGTTTTTGAAAGTTGCATTTATTGTGCGGACGGGTAAGATTTGAGCTGAATTTTTGTTGTTTCTGTATGTTTTCATTGACTACGACAAATCCGTCCTAGAAACGTATATTTTGCGGGGACAGTACAACTATTGCATATTAATGGATAGAACCTCGCAGAAAAGCGCCGAAAAATAAGAGGGCAAGACAATTTACTGACGTGCTATGATCAAAATTTCTGATCAAATTTGAATCGCTAAAGTGTTTAATTCTATATACTGCTTACCCTAGGTCGCTTGTTGTAACGAAGAGTGTTATGTCGTAGGACAAACACGATTATAATTCCTGCTTCGTATTCGGGAGGTCCCGTGTTCAAATCTCGGCTAGGAGACCGGCTATCCCGACTGGGTATTTTGTGGTTTTCCTCAATCCCTCCAGACAAATGCCGGGATAGTACCTTAAATTATGCCAAGACCACTTCCTTCCAATTCATAATATTGTCAACACCGTGATAAAGGGAGTAATTTTTGTTCATTCAGGTTATGATAGAATTATCGAGGTCTTCAATGCTGGACTTGTATTCTTGAATCAGACAACTGGAAAAGTCTCTTAAAATTTACGAATTACAACGTTTCGCCTGAACAGACTTAGTATTGTATCCTGAAGGTCATAAATTTGGATCTGATCTGGGGTCATTATTCCACCGTGGTATCTCAAGGTTTTCTTCACTCACAGAAGGTAACTGATCGCTGGTTGCGTAGTCTACACGAACCTTCACATACCCAAGGTTAAGGTCACAATGAGAGAACATTACGAAACTTATGCCAGATCGAACACGAAATTATTTCACAGGATTTGCGGTAGAGTTTCAGGCAGAAATTTTTTGCAAGTAAATCGACATCAAAAAGTATATTATGACTTGAACCACAGCTGTCAGAATAGATACTTTAGGTGGATCATGCATGTGAATTCTAGTTTATGGCTTGTTATATTCTCTATAAAGAATGTCTTAACAAACAAGTATCTTATTGAGGTACTTTCAGATACAGTGAATATGCTTATATGTTCCGTGCAACGCAATTACTTCGATGTGGCCTGAATTCATTCTTTTGAACACGGCAGAAGGGCCGCGAATTTTCGAAAACCTGAGCGATCATTAGCATGAGAAGGAGGATATTGCTTGCTTCTGTTTTCCTCTATTACCTTCTATGAAAAATAAAAGATGTTTCTTCCCCCAATATCAAACTAAAATCGAGACTTTATATATGCGTATACTTAAGACAGTTCTTCAAAAATAATATCATCACATAAAAGCAACTACGCTGTCATTTTGTAAGCAATTAAGTGTCTTTTACAAAATCATGGCTGTCTAATTATCATCTGCACCATATCGATGATACCATGCACATAATAAGGCTTCTTTATAATACAATAAATATAAATCCTTACTATCACCCTATCACTGAACGCCATTGTACTTTCCGCCTGAAAACGATTAATTACAAACGAAAGGGGAAGCTAGACGGTTTAATAAGAGTCTTCCTTACGTCTTTATCTCATTTTAACTTCTATGAACTGTAAAAATCTACAATTCTACTCTCAACATTAATAGTTTTTTTATAATAATACTAATACGTGTAAAGGTATTATAGGCCACTTTGAGCCTTGGCCTGTCTTAAAGATTTTTTTGTGACAGATTTTGTATCTTCTTGTCGACACGCGGTAGGATTCGTTTGACCTAGATGGGGACAAGGCTTCTGTCTACACAGGACAGTGCAACACAGAAGGATATATATACACACAACCATGCTTCTAGTGGGTTTCATAACCACGGCCCCAGTATGCGAACAGCCAAGATCGATTTTAATGGTGCCCCCTCACGCGGTCAGTATCCCAAAAATCTTATTTTCTTTGTGACTTACAAATTCTGATAACGTACCGAGCAAGTTTTTTTCGAGAAGAATCTCGTCTGACATGTGTTCGAGAGGTACCCGGTTAAAGCCTTGGCCAAAGCAAAACGTGTCCTAACAGAGGTTCCACGAGTTTAGGGTCAGTCCTTCTACAGTCCTGCTGGGATTTCATGATCTTTCGTTTCAGCGCTCAGCTCTGACCTCCTTGAAACATCAGGGGTCAAGCCTGGTGTGCATTCTAACTGTTTGAGCTTGAGACAGCACGCATCGCCGTCCAATGATCAAATGAAGATTTGACAACAGTGCTACGTTATTCAATTCTTGCTGCGGCTTGCTACGTCTCACACAGGTGGGGTTAGGGATCTCGCGGCGTTACTCGGACTACATGAAAGATGGTTTTATGCTGCTGTTACGTGCTCAGTGAACACTGGATGATAAGGAAGTAAGCTGTAGTTACCTGTTTCTGGGAAACGTCTTGACATTTATCTACACTGCACGTAACAACCCCGTGATCCAGTCTGATTACAAAAAACCGTCTGTCGTCGAAAACGAATTTTTAAACAAGCTACAAACAGAACCATCGAAAACATATTTTTAAGCAATATTAAAACATGTTTTTTCTTTACCACGCATGTTTCATTTATACTGGACAGCTGTAACTTTAGACATTACAAATGTTGTCAACAAATTAATTTAGTGTACTTTTATAACTTAATGATTTTAATCAATTATACTTTCTGATGGAGTTGAAATCAGTTTATGAAGCAGTCTATAGAATTCCTGACAAGTCTGTATAACCATATGTTGTCATGTTGGATGAGAAAATAATAAAAAAGCAAGGCTTGTATTCAACGTTTGAAAAAAAAAATTGCAACCCGGATCCTGATTCTTGCACCCGAAATGGAGTGCTGCATGTTTGCATTTAAGGGACCAGTATATTTGTCATAAACACGTACTAGCGTCTACTTTTTAACTTGGAAGGGTCCCTCCTACTTCCCTTTCCCTGAATCCAAAATAAAAGTCTGTTCTCAACAACGTTCACTGCAAAGTCAATGAAACTTTGAGTACTTCATATTTCTCTTACCGCCCTCAAGTTCAAATGTGCAAAGTTCAAGGACAATATCCTCTGGACGGCTGAGAATGTTATTCAACTTCTTAAACAGAGTAAACACTGGGGGAGTGCGGTCTTTAATACGAATTACCCATATGATGGAAGTTGTTACACCGGACAGTGCGTATGTGAAGTTCACAGTTCCAAAAGAGTTAAAATTAATTATTAGTATGGTATTCTACATCACTGCTTCAACTGCTGAAGTTATGAAGCAGTGAAATACCGAACTTATGTTAAATATTCTTAGTTAATATTTGAGAGGTTAAGGATTCTATTCCCGCTGGCTGTGCTGACGACATTTTTAATGAATATTCCCCACGGCCTCCTCAAAATTGATGGAACATGCCCTTTATCTAGTCCACAACTACTTCTAGAATCTTATTATTTATCGCTCGCAATCATACTACTATTGAAAGAAAAAAATAACTTATTCAGGTCAGGAGGGATACGAAAGGAAGCAGTTTATGTATTAACTTCAATAAAATACGGATTCGTCCTTAGTGCATAGAAAATATTTGTACAGAATTTATGGAATATCGGTCCTAACCTATGCTGATGAACTAACATTTATGTTTTGTAACGAAGCTTTCTCAAATTTATTTGTTTTGTAATATCCAAATTCTTGGATGATTAAATGATTAATTTGAAAGGATAAGAAAGCGGGTCTGGCTATTTTAAATGTTGGCCAGCGCAAATCAGGAACACAGGTTGAGGATGGCTGAGAATGGCAAGATGAAGAAAGTATTTGGACTGAAAGTGAAGACGCAATTGGAAACAAAAGAAAACTGCATAACGAGAAGCTTCACAATTTGCAGGTCTCGAGTGTTGAGTGGATTCATCTGGCTCAAGTTTCATGTCTTTAGTGAAACGCTATTGACTTTGTAAATATCTGTGCCCATGGTTGATTCATTACTGTTCATTTATGTTGAATAATGCCCGTTATCGGAGGCACACAGCATATGTACACGAGATTTAGAAACTGAATCTAGCCCAAAATTTAGCTTAGTGGTTCCAATGAACCCGCTGTTGATTACTAAATTTATTGTGATCACTAAATCGCAAACATTTACCACTAACATAAACGGAGGGTCGGAACGAATTGTGTTAGTGAATGGCAACCATTCAGCTGGAAACTGCAAACAGGCAACTTCAAAAACATCACTTACATTTAATGTACTTTAGACAACGGACAATGTCTAGCGTAATTATGGCGTTAACATGTACCACTGTTATTATTTACTTCAGGAATAAGTATATAACAAACATGTTTAAAATGTTTATCAATTTTAACAGTTATTTCTAGAAAAACGTATTCAGAAAACTGAGGTTTTGACCGTCTATAAATACATATTCAACCTAAAATATTCAAGCTAACAAGTTAATTCCTATCTGAAATTTTGCTGGACTGAATATACTAGGTCTGTACTTGAAACCTGTTGCCTTCAGAGGTCTGATACTTCTGCGTTCCTCATAGATCATAAACGTGAGACTATTACAGCTAAGAAGGGTGATATATTGCCATTATAAAAAGAGACTAATATTAAAATGTATATGAGTAAGAGAGAGACAGATAATAGTTGTAAGATAAAAAAAAAAAGAATTACGACCTCCTCTCTGTTTAGGACGGGAATACTCGACAACATATCATGCACCTAATGGCGACACGAAGTCATAGAGTTTTTAAAGTCAAAGCAAACGCAGCAAAATATTCTCTGTCTCGTTTCATCTCTTACTTCTTCATCTCAAAACATATTCCAGTTGGCATCCTTCGCCCTGTGCAGCCCACATCATACAGTTTAAAAGACACACACACGCGCAGTGTGTTCAAATATGTGACGAGGTAATGTGAGATGAAGAGAAATGAGAAGAGGAGAAGACGATAACAAGAAGCAGAAGGAGGAGGTAAATATGAAATGTGAGGGGGAGTTTTAACTGTCAACCAGGTCGAAACGCCATGATATTCCTATCATATATCTCTCAACCCTTCCAGAGAGACTTAGTCGATTCCAAACGCTTGATAAGGCTGGTCATGTGGTGCTAGAGGGACCGTTTGCAAAGTGACAAGGTTCAATTTGGTCAGACAGAAGCCATTAGTTCAAACAGGGAAGAAACCAGCAGCCACATGCTAATTAAAACAGGTGTCAACATATAAAAATAACAAAATAACTTTGCAGAAGTTTCGTAAAATTTGTCCATATAATTCAATTGATTCCGAATTACTCAGTGGTTTTATCGGTGATTTTACAGCAAGACTTTTACATACTTCGCTGTTTATGAAACCATAGTTCTGTTGAAGAAATCTATATACTTTCTGGAGACAATAACAAATCTGACAATACTGAAAGATGTATTTTGGGCATTTCTGGTATTAACACTAATTTCTTTGACTATTTATTACTTTGATTTGTTTAAGTTTATTGTCACAGTGTTAAAATTTTTAACTTGTGAAAATGGCGAACTTATCATGGAATGTGATATTACGTTTGATGATAGCGCTATCATCTGTAGCTTGCGGTTTCCTGACAAATGTGATTGATGACGTCGTTAAAGAAGATACTGGAGACTCTCATCTGTTTGAGGAGAAAGAGAGAGAAAGAGGAGTCAAAGAAAGAGCCCTAGAGAAGCTACAAGAGGTAGGTGAAGAAATTGTAACAACGGAATGTTTTTAAGATTATTATTACCCAGAACTCAAGGTAAGAATATCAACACTATCGATTGAGGGTTTGTCTACTAAAACCAAACTTACTTGACGACTGTTATTTCCGTTAATTTTAACACGCTCAATATTAAACTAATAACAAGTGTTGGTTTTGCGTCAACTACATGTTTCGACCTAATATGGCCCTCATAGGACGTCTGAGACATGGAATTCAACTCTGTTACGTGTCACAACAAACCGTAAAATCAAAATACAAACTTAAAATAAAATATCGTGATATTGGGTGACAGTGGTCGGTTGATGGGCGAGATGACAGAATAATTACGAACGATGAACTGGGAAGTTTAACAGAGAGTTGTGGAATAGGCTTTCCTGAATGTACTACACAGCCATTCGCCGGGAGTGACTCATTTAAAACACTTCATGAGACTTTAGTTTCTTATGACAGCGAGAATGAAGATGAATGTCTTATGGAATGTCGCGCAGTTTACGATCCTGATGATGGAGGCAATAAGCACCTCTGAAACGTCGGTAAACTTCTACCGGGCCGGTAATTTATGAACGGGCTGGCTGTTTTTTACACGGGTATATTCTCCCCTTGCTCCATTGCTTGTATATATTCATCTGTGTGTTTGAGAGACAAAACTAATTTGCAACGCTGCCATCATAATACCTTCTAAAAGTTCCATTGCAAAGCCACGTATTCCATAAAGTTTTAGTGGAATTTCGTCTTGAGAATATGTGGATAAGTGATGATGAGTATGCAGGAAAATTTCACAAATATTAATAATGAAAAATGATGTAAAGAAATAGCAAACCCATGATGGACGTAGCACAATGATTAAACCATCCTCTTCGGTTTCAATAAATGCCCCATGATGGTAGTACGTAGTAAAAATAACACAAAATCCATTAAATTATGCAGGCAAAAGCCCGTCTAATGTAAACAATAAAGATATGTGGACGTTTAATGTTTCTGCCAGCTGTTTCTAATGGAGGTGAACCGTGGCACTTCGGCCTTTGAGGAAAATAAATTACAAGTTTCTTTTAAAACAAAGTGTTGCAGGAAAGTATCTGTACCCACAAATGATAAAGAAGTGGAAAATTTCCGATATTATATTATAATAAACGCTGTGATTTATACAAACCAATTAGTTTTGTAAGGATAACTAAATATAGGTGACTGAGTATGATTTCAGGTTTTGACAGCGGTGAGTATGAAGATTTCTGTCTTCTGGGTTGTTGCGCTGTGTAGTCTGGTAGACCTTTACCAACGTTTCAGAGGTCATACTGCCTCCGTCATCAGGGCGATGAATTCAGAAATCTTCATAGGTGACTGAGTTTGGCTGCATGGGGAAAATTATAAATTTATACTGAATTTTTGCAAAGAAATCTCTTGGAAAGCAAGTCACATTGATGCTCATGAATTGAAGGAGTGAGGGCAATGGAAGACGCATCTTTGGAGCCTAGGATGTGACAATGATAGATGGATGGTACAATCAGAATTGTGACGGACATTGGTAATAATATTGCTGAACTTTTGGGTTCAATTACCAGAGTTGATTGATGATGATGATGGACCTAATAATAACCTTTCGATTAAAAAATTTAACGTGTGAATGTATTCATCTATTTGTTCAGGTTTTTGGTCTGCCAGATCTAGGAGAGAAGCGACATCATCAAATACCTCCACAGTTCATGACCGAGTTATATAATAACATTGCGGACGAGAGTGGCGTAACGCGCCGAAAGAATCCCTACAACGCCAAAGTCGTGCGTAGCTTCATAGAGAGAGGTAGGTAACTGATGTTTATATTATAGGGTAAGAACGACAAACAAAATAAGTTGCATTTACTGCAGAATTACCTGTCTGCTATACTGTGTGTCAAATACATGTGGAGTACAGGCATCAAGGTGTGCCACTAACAGAGATAGTCGCGGAACGCCTTAACGTGAACCACTGTCTTTCCTCGTACATATCTTCAGAAAATATTTATTTTCCAAGTACCTGTTTTCCCAGTTGTTTCAAGGTCACATTAATCTCACCACAACAGAATTCATGGGCTGGATCCTCATGATATGACATAACTTTTCTTTTTGATACTGATACACAGAAATTAGCGAACTCATGAAGTACTCTCAAATGACATTATCGAACACGTCTCATGTACTATCATATCACTTCTAACAAATATGTCCCTTCCCCGTCCGAATTTGCTTAAAATAAACTGTAATGAAATAATGAAATTTATTACTTATGACAATATGAATCTATATTTCAGTTGCCCAAGAACGAATAGAAAATAATAATACAGCTTTATCACAAACGCATGCATTTCCCCATGAAAACCTCAGATTTGTAGTTCATTTCGTGTGGTCTAAATAACAGTAAGAGAACACAAGTCCTGGAACTTGGAATAGGACGTAAATGGAGATTTTGTTAATACTGTGACGAACGTCATATTTTACAAAACCAGGGATCATTGTTACCGGTTTTATGGATATAATTTGCAAGAATATCTTAATTTCAGCAAGGTGGTAGACACGTCATGCCGCAAAACTATTAATAAATTATAAGTGAGTTTAACTTTACTTATAATATTTCAGATAACTCACTATGCCACTATTTCTACTTTAATATCTCCGGGTTGGATGCTGAAGAGAGCGTTCTGGAGGCACAGCTACGCCTGTATCGGATGAGGACACCGCCAAATGAACTCCATCCCACTTTCTTCACGTCGCCCAGTCTCATCGTGAGTACAACACACCTACAAAAAATTTCGCCAGTTCGCCGACTGTGTTTGCGGACTGTCGGCAAACATTATTTCACGCGTATATATTTCTGTTGACGAAGAAATTGTGGACGCCGGTGGACTAGGGCCTTTCTCAAAGTAAGTCATTGATCTGGTTTTAGAAATTCCAGAATGTTTCGTTCAAAAATATTAGGTTTTAACGTATTATTGCTTGTCCACATTCTGACTTCTTGGCTTGGTGGTAGTTAACGACAGATTGAAACTGAGTTCGGAAACACAGAACACCGGGTATTTATTTGCGGACTGTCTGCAAAAAAAGAGGAAACTTGTTTGCTGTTTCCGGACAATATTTGTATTGCGGGCAGTATTTCAGTAGCTCATAATACGTCGAATGAGAGGACAACAGTGAATAATGAATTAGAACGGATGTGGAAGGAAGTGGTCTTAGCCTAATTTAAGTACTATCCTGGAATTTGTCTGGGGAGACTGATGTAAACCACAAAAAATCATCAGCCAGGTTATCCGGTTTCCGGGTCCATATTTGAACTGGGAATCTCTCGAAGATGTAGCAAGACGGCTTACCTCCTGACTTCGACGTTCAGTTGAAGACACGTATTTACCACAAATTAAAGTCTACTACGTTAATAAATCGACAATTAGATATTGAAAGTGATGTTTCAGACTTAAAAAATACAATTACCTTAGCAGTGCTAAATCAGACTACATTCAGATCATGATCTGTTAGAATTTTCCTATGTAAATTATATTATATTAAGGGCACATAACACTACTCTAAATGCAGATACGCGTGTACCAAGTGTTGGACGAGCAGCAATTGGGATCGCCGGATTTACACAGACTGCTCAGTTCTCACTCGGTGGGGGCTCATTCTCACGGCTGGGAGGTGTTCAACATTAAGGAAGCCGTGCTGGACTGGATGGAAGGCCGGCGCCCCAACAAGGGGCTTCTCGTCACATGCAGTACGCTTTTTGAACAGAGCGTAGACGTGAGATTCGCTCGTCGTAACGAGCATCATAACAGCAAACAGCCCATTCTCGTACTTTTCGACGACGAGCTTAAAACACACACCCCACCAGCATCTCCGATCACCGATCCTCGAACAGGTAAAATCAGTCATGTTATTTCCATCGTAAAATTATAATCTAATAGGACATGATTTATAATTGGAGAGATGACCACGCACTTTTCAACGATTAATTTAAAAAAAAACTTGCCTGAAACAAACCCTGTCTGATTCCCTTTTAACACTTCTTTAATGTCCTCATTGGAACATGTATTTCTACCAACTCACAGACATTTATTTTAAAAGAAATACCATTACCTTGTCAGCCAATGGATACTCGTTTCTTTTTATTCATTGAAAGAGGTCACCCGGATTACTACAAGTATGATCCCACTAACGAGGTACGCGATTCGTCTGCAGAATCAGCGATTGTACGGGAGAGGCGGTCGCTGTCCGCCGTCTCGGCTGGCGGCAATTCTTCCACTTTCAACGGCCTCGCTGCTGCACGCAACAGCTCCCGAAGAGCCAACACCTCCGGGGAATGCTCTCGGTTGGAGCTGTTTGTGGATTTCGAACAGATCGGGTGGTCGTCTTGGATAATTTCACCGAAAGGATACTCAGCGTTTTACTGCAAGGGTCACTGTAATTTCCCATTAGGCCAGAGTCAGCGGCCGACAAATCACGCTACAGTTCAGAGCATTGTTCACGAGCTAAATCTTGCGCCGGATGTAGGCAAACCTTGTTGCGTGCCGACAAGTCTACTCAATGTCCCCTTACTTTTTTACGATGACAATGACAATGTTGTTCTTAGGATGTATGAAGACATGGTGGCTGACAGCTGTGGATGTCTGTAGAAAGGGGTTCTTAAAAATATTTTGGAGTCTTGGCCTGGTATTGCACATTGTTTCAGAAATTATTTTAAAACTTCTAACATTCCCAAGACATCCTACTTGGTGTAAATCTATGTGTAATTGCTTTTACGATGTCGTATTTGCCCAAATGTCATGGACCCTCAAATAAAATATCCGCCCCAATTTAAAAGCCTCAATTAAAGAAAAGTAACTGTTTAAACACCAGTTATTCAAAACGTATTCTACAACTTCTAGGAGTAAATACAGAGCACAATTATTCCTGTTTTTTACATTTCAGGAAATGTTTAAGTGATTTTTTGAGCAATAAATAGTTTCTGGAAGCACTGTATTCGAGCGAATACGATAATTGATAAAGTTTGGTGCAATATACTGCCTCCGTAGTTAAGAACTGGGACATGTTTGTGGGATCTAATCCAGGCATGCGCCAATAATAGATAAACAGTAAACAAATTCTCCAAGTTTAAAACATGTTTAACTTATAAGCCTGGATCTTTAAATTATGGTTCCATTTTTAATGCCTTATAATAATAAATGGAAGAATACAGTAGGTTTCAAGCCGATTCACATCCATGCTGTTAATAATTCAGTTTAATTTATTTAAATTACAATAACTATCTACTGCTAAGGTCTAATTCGTTGCTTCTAATGCTGTTAAAGATGATCAGTAATAATTTCTTTAAATATTATAAGTCCAGAATTCTTCCATTCCGTATTATAAAATCGAAATCAGACAGCACTGACCAAGTGGCCCTTGTGCTAATGGGAAAGGACAGGAACTTGGGTCAGTGGGAGGAACCGTCTGAGAAGAGCCGGAGGATAACATTTCTGTCTGACCAGTATCAAGAAGGCCGGGGGTGAAAAAAATCACAGTTCACAATTTCACAAAAAATAATTTCGTATCTGGACAATATTTTATTGTTGCCTCGGAAAAGTCCTGCCTATTTTCACAGCCCTGGCTACTGACCTCGGTCAACGATCTCAAAATGTACATCAAGCACTATGTTTTTGCTTTTGTCTTGTTATCAATTTTTTGTGTGTAATATATAATATTGTTTTTACCTGTATCGTATATTCATAATATTTAGACAGTTCAAGATCCTATCCATAATCTTTTATTAATGTGTGTTAAGATAGATATCTCTTCTGACTCTCATCTCTGGTGGCAACGGCCTGACAATTATATGTAAGAACAAGCTATAATAATACTTTTAATCTATATTGAAAAATAATTTAATAGATGATTGTGATCAATTTTATATAGGCCCATAAATGTACAAAATGTACGTTGTTTTATATCTAAAAAAACGTGATCTGCATAACTGTGTAATCATCTTCAAAAACTAACTTTTCCCGTTTGGTTATTTTGGTATCACATACAAGACAGCAAGACAGTAACACTGTGATCTTTATATAAACGCGTTTTAACATTCCTCGAGGCATTGTCTTTTTTTCTGTCTCATATTTTTGTTGTACATTTGCATACTTTTTTCCCCGAAATGTCTTGTAGTAGTTGTCGGTGTTGATAAATTTTACCCAGTAGCATCTTCCAGTAGCTAAGAGAACGTGCCAATTTAGAATTAAGTATAGGTTGGCCCATAAGCACTGTACATTTGAAGATGAAATATGTTTATCACAAGACCAGAAGAAAGGTACTTGATTCACTCGCGAGTTTCTGTACTATTAACGATGTACTATATTTACGTAACACCAAATAAGATGCGAAGGCGATTATGAACAGTAAATAGCGAGAAATATTGGATGCACTCTCCTGGTGAGTTTCAGATGTAGAAGGAAACGGTCGTGGTATATTTTAAAAATAGTATCCCATCACTGACCAAAAGGGAATAAAGTAAGCCATAAAATATATTTTTTTTAACTGAAATTCAAAATCGGGATCCCTTGAACACGAAGCAGAAACCTGATAACTAGACCGCAACATTAGTTAACGCAATATTTAGAGGAAGACTAGCTTTTCAACAATGTTTATGCCAGTAATAAAGTAGTTTAAGTACAATGACGTCTGAAAAATAGCAGTAAATTGTGTGCGCTACGTTGGAACACAGGTTCCCACTCTTGTTATAATTATGGGGAAATTTACGGGCCGTACTGTGACAAGATTAAACGAGAGGGAGTAGCTGCAGACCGGTAGCTGGAACACCGTACTGCAAAGTAACAATTTACATAATTTATTAGGTTCCTGTCTACCAAGTTCGATAACATTATAATTACTACTTGGAAATAATAAACCAATGTATTATTAAATGTGTACCAAGATAATTTTGCAAGTAAACAAGAATCACACTGACTTATTTTAATAAAATTAATTCATTACAAAACTACTTTTTAAAATATTTATTGTGGTTTTTCCTGAAAATCTCATTTCCAAAGAATCTCCTAGTACACATTCCTACCATAATGAAATTTCATTTAAACATAAATCTAAGAAATTATCACCTAAATCATGAATTGTATCTTAGACAATTTCGTACATCACTGAATATTATGCCTCCAAATTTAAGGAATTAACAACTCAATGATAAAAGATAAAAAAACGTTCTAGGTTACTAAGTCCATCAGTTTCAAGGAAAATGTGTAATTATAACTACTTTCTAGAGTATTTTTCTTGTGGATAACTCTTAAAATCCCCAAGCAAAAATTCTTAAAGATTTCACAACCAGATTAAAGTTAAATGCAAGGATATGATCAACAAAAGAACGACCGCTGATCAACGAAGCATAATATAAGGTCCAGGCCATTTCTCTGGAAGATGGGTTTATTGAGTGAGTAGTCTGTTCCACTGTCACGTAGACAATTTTAGGAAATAATCGATAATTACAACAGAAGGGCTTAATTTACAAGATGTCAGTACTCAAATTTGTCTTTTTATTCCACGAATACACACGACTTCAAATGGGACGCTCAGAGAAATGAAACAGCCAAGATACGTAATGTTAAAAATCGATAGAATAAGTCTAAAGGTGAATATCGAATCTTATTCTTATGGTCACTCTAGTTAATGTTTTGAGGAATTCAGAGAACGTTTAAACATAGATTTTATAAAAGTTAGTTTATGAAATTTAGTCAATCTAGATCTAACTTTAAACTAGCTGAAAATAACATTTGGTATGTGTTTAATATCTGTCAAATAAAACTTATTTTTAGACTCGTGTATAATAATAAAGTAATGGAGTTTGTCGGTAGAATTTAGCTTAAAGCCAGCGACAGCCATTGCCCCAAATGATGACACGTGTCACCAGTTATACAGTAGGAGGGAGTGAGCCTCTTGTAAACTTGGCTGATTAACTGATAAAATAATGGAAGGAGACTTTTTTTTAAATTTGGAGAATATACACATACTGAAACTTATCAGGAACCATACGACTCTAATCCACATTTTCTCTCCATTTTAATAGTATCAGTATCCTGCAAAACAGACACTCTCCTTCAGAGTTTCAATTAAAACTGTGTATGCATTTCTCATTTCCCCATGCGTGCTACACCCCCTCCCACTTCAACCTTGTCTGGAGACGTAGACTGGCGGTGAAATGATTGGCTGTTTGTAACTGCTACGGAAATGCCAGATGTCTGAAATGTGAAGAGGGTCTTCAAGGTCCATGAGTCATTGAAATTCTTAATATGTGCGCCACATTGTCAAGTGTTAACGTATTTCTTTCTTTGTGAGCAATTTTGTGTTATTATTTAATAATCACACAAAATATGTTCCGTTTAAGACCCCGCTCAAATATTGCCCCTATCAATTGTAGCAGTTAAGTCCCTTGGTAAAACAGCTGACTAAGCAAAAACACCAGTTCATTCAAACGTTTGTAAGATTAAAGTCGTGTTTGAAGGGTAAAAGCAACGAGTAAGAATAAATCCACAGATTAAGATGAGTGACAAGTGTCATGGAAGGTTTCTTATTTACTGCCTTGAATTAATGTAATAGTCTGCTGTTACATCGTTTTCATTTACTTGCAAAAATATTTTGAATTTCGTGATAATATAACACAGTTTAGAGCTACGCGCTTTGCTATCTGGTTTCGAAGTCAGAAAACACATATTTTTTCCTTTGTCATCCAAGGCCATTCCACCTCCTAAGCAAGGGGCAATGCAGAACTGCAAACAAAACATTAGCAAAGTAGCTTATAATCTTTGGGACCGCAAACGATATACTGATGCGAATCATGGTGTCCTCTAAAGGGTTTTCGGGTGCCTGCGAAAACTTACAAATATTTATACAGGGCGACATGATTAGAAGTTAATCAATTAAACAAAACATTCCCTTCTCAAATACGGAACTAACCCACTAAACTGAAGTATGCTTGTGTAGTAGATTCAGACGTCTTACGATGTTATCTTAGCAGCGTAACGGGATATTCTTGTTATTAAGACACCGTCACCTTTCTCGGTGGACAAGAATCCTTTTATAAATAATTACTTAAAATCTGCCAGATCTATCAACCGTGGCGCCAAAATGTCCCGAGTTCTACACAGCTACATACTTCAAGAAATTTTACGGAAAGAGAACGAGAGTTCATAATATTAAAACCATCGGTCAAAGCCCCTGTTCGTGAGTTATCGGGTTATTAGACAAGCGACGGAGACGTCCAAGATTATAAATAAGATGGAGATATTTTTTTTTTAATTTCCCCGACATAAATTATATATAATCACATGTATATACCTGCTAGCGATTGAAATCAAGTCTTAAACATTTTACAGGCTAAAGATGAAATTACTCCTGCTACTAACGGTGAGATTGGCAAATCAGATACAATGTTATAATGTCTGCCAGCCCGGATTTCGCGACGAGAGAGTCCTGTCTTCACTATAAATAATTTGTGCCACTGGCTCTAAGAGGGGCAATTTCCGTGTTACGTGATCATTATCTTCATAATAAAATAATTACCATGAACTTGGTGTGGCGCCATGTTCGCGTGACAGGTCGTGTTTTCTTATCCCCCCATCTCGTCTCCTAACCTTGGTTATTTTCGTTTGCAGGTCACGTTCCACCGATATGCCGAAGGTATTGGATTTATCTGTTCTGTTTAGTTCTCAAAACAGTTACAACCGAAAATTCTGGAGCCTATTAAGGAATATCTATTCAAGTATTAAACAACCTGCGATTCACGGGTCATATGTGACTTACCGAACTTGAAAATGTGCCTATAACATGCTGTCTGCTGTTCAAAATCACTAATGCCAAAGTTAATAGCCTCACTACCTATCTGCCTTGAAATCATCTATTATCTTTACCATCTGAAAGACGGAGTTTCTTTCTAGATATTAAATATAAACTGTAAAATATATCGACCGCTTGTTTAATAACTTGACTTATTTACCTGTTTCCACCACCCTATTCTAGTGCCCACACTTTATTGTCGAAAATCGGGGAGGGGAGCTTATACTAAGGCTTATTTTAAAGTTTCAGGCAGAACAAATAATGTTGCTTTTCTATTACAATTCTTACGTTGTTAATGTTAGTCTATAAATTTTGGAATTTATAAAACAATGGATTGTAACTTAATTCTTACGTTGTTAATGTTAGTCTATATGTTTTCGAATTTATAAAACAATGGATTATAACTTTGCTCATGGGACAACGTACTGGGTTCGTGAGTACACGGTCCTAACTCATTTGGGTAAATTTCTTTATTATTGATTAAAATTGTAAAAATTGTAAAAATTTTACAGAAAATGTTTACTTTTACCTTCATTATCAGTATTTTATTTTATACTTAGAACGAATTTCGTACTTCAGTACAGATTCTGTCTACAATACCTTGTCGGACATAAACACGTATACACAAATAAGACACAGGCTGACCTGGTCGCGAACCCGGTGTTCCAAGATAAAGTGCCGGCATTTAACTGCTTGAGGTATGGCACGGTGAGATTACGATAATACAGAATCAACTGTTAGGTTGCTCTAACAACGACGTTTGTAGCAAGTGAGATCTTAGGTTCTCTCAGTGGCACGTACAAAGATAGCTGTCCTGAGTACAGTCCGATAGACGACTATCGACGTTTCACAGGTTCTTATTGCTTCCATCATAGGGACGCCCTGACGATGGAGGCAGTAAGGACCTTTGAAAGGTCGGTAATCTTCAAAGTTTTTCTTGGGCTACGTAATTTAACTGGTCCCACCTCCCGACTTTGAGCATCCATCACGTCGGTATTACGCAATGCAGGAAATAATGTGTGTGTGTGTGCGCGTGCGCGTGCGTGCGTGCATGCGCGCGCTTGGAGTAATTTCCAATGGCAGTACGTCCACCCTTATTTCATTAAAATCCACCAAGCCTTAGTCTAGTTATTAAATGCGTCCAACACAACTGGTCACAGTAGATACTGATGAAGCTTTTAACTTGTTAACAATAAATAAAACTATTTAAAGTGGCAACATTTAACACAGAATCACTTATTGTTATCTCTCTTCAACAATAACACTCGAAGTGCATTTAGGTTTGTCAATTCATATTCTTCATAGAAAATTATATTTTATGCTAAAGGATTGGTATTCTGTAAGACTTGAGGTTCTCACAGATGACGGAGGCAGTATGACCTCTGAAACGTTGGTTAACATCGACCAGACTACACAGCGCAACAACCCAGAAGACAGAAATCTTCGATTGGTATTCTCTTTTTGGACCGCCTAGCGCACTGCCGTGCTTTGGGCAGCCCTGGCTCCTTTTCCGTAAACCAGGCCATTGCGAACACGACACACACACACACAAAAACAACTTTGAGACAAACTTACCGATTCGGAGGTGGCGTTGAAAATATTCCCGCCGTGGTTGTGAACATGCACTGCAGTACAAGGACACGATGCACCTCTGCTGGGGAAATCCTGTATATTTCTTCCCGAATACTTTCTCGAAGTTTATGCAATGTATGGCGATTTCTGCTGTACACTTTGTCTTTCAAACTATCCCACAAATGAAAACACACTGCACGAGGTCAAGGAAAAGCGGTGTCCCTACGCTTCCGACTAATAATTCAATCAACAAACACGTCACTTATTATGGTCATGCAGTTACCTACAGTTACCGGTTGTGTGCACCGTTGCTGAGTCCTGTTGAAACAGACCGTAGTATTTCTTTCTATGTTAACTCTGGGATAAACCTGTTCAAAATCAGATTAGTATTCCCTTCTTCGTCTTATTATCAACAGAAAAATGGGTCAATTATTCGCCTTGCACTGATTCCACACCAAATACCAACTTTCGAATCGTGAAGTGCGGATTCATTATGAACGCTAGGGGTTTCCGGAAACCAATAAGGGTTATGGTACGTGTTCTCACGCAAACATAAATAAAACAAAATTTCTCCAGTAAAAACAATAATTGTGAACCAAGAATTGCAAAAATTCCTTCTTGTAGCTCGGATTCTTTGTTGCAATTAATACACTTCTGAAGATCGCTTCTAATAGGGCCTGTGGCGGGCAACAACTTTCAGTCACAAGGAACTAATACAAAACATCATCATATAACTTTCATTATCGATATAAAATTTCAATGGCTATCGATTCAGTTACCGAATCAGACCAAAGACGTATAAACGAGAAAGAGTAAACATAAATCTCAAACTGACAAAAGAATAACAGTTCGTTGATAATACCAACTGAACCTCCTGTTGCTTCCTCCTTCCTATGTCCAAATATTCTCTTCGGTACCTCTTACTGAAAATTTCAGCATGGAAAGGATTGAATTCAGTAAAATATTGTTCATCCACATTTCACATGGGATTGCCTGTAGAAAAAATGAAAGAACCAGTTGAATGTATCTATGAAAAAAGTAATATTCTACTTTATTACTCAATGTTGAAATACATTACGTCTCTGTCATGGCAAATATTACAAAGGATCACACTACTACATAGGCATGTTCAAGGGCATCAAATTCAGATTTTTGTTTTGTATGTAATAAAAACTGACACGTAGGCTTACAGTTGAATCTCTTGGAAAATTATGCAGATTCAGTAATCTTCCTTTTAACATTAAACACGTGTTTTAATTCCTTTCCAAAGAAGAAATGCTATATATAACAGAAATGTAATGATAAACTAAGCATAATCTGTTTGCCTTCACAGTCTGCTGAATTTGTCAGTGAATCATTTAGATAGTCACAAACTGACACAATTCTATATACTAAGCTTTCAGCATGTTACATATCACATTTAAATGTATATTTATTGCTCTGGACCACCTCACATTGTATGCAATGAGTTAAATTTAATATAAATGTTATATATATTTAAATACACATTTGTTTGTTACAGCGAGTGAAATTAATAAAAAAATATTAATGTGTCTAACTGCAGAGAAAACACCATAGTCTGTAATGAATATCATCAGTGGTGATTTGTAGATCACATAGGCCATAATCAGTGTTCATAAAAAATAAAATCTCACTTTTCCCTTGTGTTAACCAAAAAGTTACTTTTCCTTACTTGGTCATTCTCCACCAAACACCAGTAATTTTAAATGAAAATATGTGATACGCTATAGCCCTAAATACTCATTTATTCTTCCTGTCAGAATGGATGTGTAATATTATATAAGCAGCCCATAAATACAATTGATTTCTGTGCACAGTGAATGAAGAAGCAGAGACATAGATTTGGAGGTTATGTAGTCCTGTGATATGGGAACAAACTTTGTCATAACCTTAACAAACCTCATTATTGATCTTGAGTATACCTTTTATAGCTCTGTAGGAGAATATACATCCAAGTAACATTTAAAAGTCTAGTTCCTTCTTGTATTACACACATCGCTTCTCCGTTACCAACACTGACATTTTTGAAGTTTTGCAATAAATAAACACTGTTTATTTTGGGAACCAAATAAAATTCACATATTCAGAGGAAAATTTGAACAGTCATTAAGAAAAGTGATACATATGTGCCAGGTTAATTACTACAAAATTTTGTTCTGATAACCAGAAGAGAAGAGACTGCTTATAAAATGTAGGTGCAGACAGAAATATAATGTTAAAATATAAGTGTGAGGATGTAAAATGAAATCATCTGACTCAGGACAGAGATCAGTGGCTACCACTTGTGAACATGGTTATAAACCTTCAGTTTCCATAAAAGACTTGTGAAGTTTTTTAATGAGGTGGTCTTTATAGACCACTAATACTTTAAAATGTAATGAGATAATGCATAACCATAAAGCTGGCGAAACACAATAAGCTGCTATATCAATATTATGTAATTTCATATACACTGCATTTTGGCGCGGTCAATAATGTTTAACACTGTGGCGTATTATTATAAGTGATCTGATTCTGACTTTAAAATACTTGAATAACTGAGTAGGATGTTTCAGGATGAAAACTTACCCTAAGTAACTTAGATCAGCAATTAGAAGCTTAGATGCACTTATTGATAAACATAAAAAAGGAAGACAGAAGTTTCAAGTTTATATAATAAACACCATCAATACTGAATTTTCCTTTAAAAAATGTAATGAGTTTGCAATTCTAGAATATACTGATAAAGCCAGGATCTTGTATTCTGCTTGCCAAATAATTACAACAGCAAACCGTCGCACGTGCCTATGCATAACAGTTCTTTCCTATTAATTTTCTTCTTTTATGTAATTGTGATCACACTTTTATCAATGAAACTTGAACATGCAACAAAAATACAATGCACTTCAAAACAACAACAAAAGTAAACATTGAAAATATTAATAACTCATACAAATTTAAAGTCTTTAGAATCCTTCAATATGATATGGCATGAAAATTATTACAAAGGATTATCATTGTTCTAGGTAATTTTAATTAAAGTTATAAAGAGAATTTTTTGGCACTAATATCATTTAAGCAAAAAATACAAAACTTATGTTATTGCAGCTTTGTATCGCTAAAACTTTGTATATGTTACATTACTTGGTTGAACAAATAGCATTTCTACAATGACATGCAGATATCAAAAAATGGGATATATCTGAATTTAATTAGACCTTGAAATAATGCATTCCATCATGTTAATATAACAAGAAATATAAAATACTGTGCAGAGTAAACTTGTAATTTCTTTGTGTGACAAGTAAATTCATATATTAATTTCTTAATTTTATTTTGGATAATTCGACAGTTATCAAACTTTAATATGTATCTGTACTTTCACATGTAATATAATATATGAAAACTATTTGCCATGTTAATAAAATATTATTAGAAATTATTCAACTACACTTGCCTTTTTAAAATAAGATGTTCTGTCAAATAATCTAAAATATTTATCTCGAAGTTATGAACACCAGTTTTTCTGTCATCACTTTTATAAACTCTGCATCACACACTTTTTACCAAACTAGTATTACCGATGTGAAAAATAATCATTATTACATAGGATAGAAAAACTATTATGTATGGTCTTAACATGTTACAAACCAACATTTTTTTTCAGTACATAACCTAAAATTTTTAAAATATTTGTCTCATTAAGTGAAATGTTTCAGTTTTAACTGTGAGAATCTAGAATGAATGTATATCATAAATTTTCTGCTTCATAGCCCTGAAATATTCACTTATGAAACTTTACTTATATTTATATTACTTCCTTAATGTGAGGTTACTTTATAGTTTATGGTTTATACTTTTGTCTCTTGTTTAGACTTCTATATTACCTATAAAATATTTTTAAAAACTTCGTCTCTTTAAAATTATTATCAAGATGGAAATTTAATTTATTTTGGTTCATAAAGTGATGAAAACTTGAAGTTATCCATGCTACATACTCCCACAAACTACCAGTTAACAACATAATTTTGGCATGTTGGTCATATTATGGCAACAGATTTACAAAATTAAATAATCTATATTTTTAATATTTCATAATTTATACCCATTTTATAAATATAAATTCACATAAACTGGAAATAAAAATCAATCATGAAAAGTGGAATCACAATTATGAATGCGGAACTCAAGATAAATTATTATTACAGAAATCCCAACGAGTGCATTCAGTCATTAAAAGAAATATATATAAAAAAGTCTTCTTGGATGAAATATGGTATTTGATTCCAGAACATTTGAGTAAAACCAGTCATTAACAAATATATTATTTCACATTTTATGTAGCTATAAATTTTATTTGCAATTTAGGAAAATACTATTCACCAACAAGAGACATAAAATCTTTAAAGTCAATTTTACATAGCATAATAATTAATTAAATGTATATATAATAAAATATTGTAAAACATTATTACTTTAATATATTAAATGTTTTTTAGAAATTATAAAAAGTATATATACCAATTCTTTCAATAATACACAATTTTCCATCATTAGTTACTGATCAATTTTAGAAAATTGCCCTTTCTATATCAAATTTCTCCAGACTAATTCAATAATTACCCTACACATCTTTTAGCCATGTATATAACAGAAGATGGCTTAGTAAACAAAATTAATGAAATGCTTTCAGTTTATGGAACGCAATGTTCTCTTTTCAGTCATGAGTGAATAAAATAATTTCACAGATATTGTGAGTTAATTCATAGACGTAAATTAAATAATTAGGTATTGCATTTTTGAGTCATGATCTACAGGAAATTATCAGTTGCACTTTTCCAAGTTATAAAATAGAAAATTTGCTGAATTAAACCTGATACTGATTAAACACTCAAAAATTTATAATAACCACAAATTAGAAACCTGAGCCTGCAGGCTGAAACAGCTTCTTTCCTATTTCTGTCAATTGCTATTTTGAGAAAACCAGCAATTTCCTCTGAACTATAATGACTGATAGAAAGTATAGACAATGAGATTAACAATAGACATGATACAGTAATGTGCTCTATCAGCCTACATTCTTTTCGCAAATTTAACCACATTCTTTTATGCAAAGGTATGTGAGTAACATGTTTCTTGTGGTAATATTCGTACAGTACTACTTTCTGATACAGTAAATGCATACTAAAAGTTGAAACTAGGAGTTTTAAACACAAATTTAATGAGATTTATACTAAATTATGTAATGGTAAAATAATGGTGGGGTAACAAACAGTCATAATTTTGGAACAAAGCACGATAGAGATATGAAATATACGTCAAAATAAAGAGAAACTCTCCACGAATTTTACCTGTTCAGTAGATTTCGATATGCGCTGCAGACATCACGCGGCTATTGACCTTGTAACACAGCGCGCATGCGCTTATGCTAGAACCTGTTTACGTATCGAAATATTGAAGAGTTTCTCTTTATTTTGAGGTTTATTTCATGTCTCTATCGTGCTTTGTTCCAAAATTATGACTGTTTGTTACCCCACCATTATTTTACGGACACACTGTATAGATGTCCATTTAACTTAAATGTGGTGCATTTATATTTATTGTTAGACTGACATCAGAAATGCTACAAAAACAGAAACGTCTAAAATTATATGTAAATGGCGTAGTGCCAAAATGTACGTGAAATGTAAAAATGTATTTCACTCAGAAAACCCGAAATATAACTATTAAAAAAAATCAAATTTTTTGGCAAAATGTTTTGATTTAAGAACAGAATAACAGACTCAGGTGGAAACATAATTCTTATAATCATCAAAATATACTCAATTGTGAAAAGAAAATTATTTTAAATTGCCATTTTTACTACTCTAATAGCCAGCCGTGTCAACATTGTCATTAGAACTTTCTGCGTGCTTCAAAGTCTAGACAGTTTTAAATAACAATCAACATTATTGATTACAGTATGTCCTTTGCTTTTTATAATCAGAAATCACAATGACTGGAGTATAATTTAATACTATAACATCACAAATTTGAACATTCGGTATTTCTTTTCTTTAAGTAATTGTATTATTTAAGCTGGTACAGACAAGACAACAATTAACAATGATTATCAGCACGGGGTTCTAATGATTAAACTCTTCTGTTAATTCAGGATGTTTTATTGAGTATTTGTTACCACCTGTATACAACCAACACAGATCTAATTTGTAGTTGGATTCTTTTATTCTTGTAATTAAAACGTATTAATATAACTTCATCCAGTATTTCTTTCAATGCAGAGAGAAAACATTTTTAAACTCTTCTTTTTTTTCAAATTCTATAATAAAAGAAAACGTAAACCTCAAGCCACAATGCGTTTATGATAAACATATAACAGCATTTCTTAAATTACAATTACAAGGTTTTTAAATCTTGTCATGAATCTGTTTACAACTGAATGTAAAATCATGCTGTGTCATGATGAATACGTATGTTTCACGCAGTTAAGATTTCTCCTTTCTTTCTCCATGCTAATCAAACATGGACTGAGTTGGCGCGACTTCCAGCAGCAGCTGAAGGAACACTGTAACAGAATCTGCAAAGCAATGAAAAGAAAATTCGTATAATACTCAACACAAACCATCCCAATGTTTCCGTAGTAATGATTTTATAATTTAGATGATGAACAAAGCTCAAATCTTGTTACTCAGAAGTTGGCAATCACCTTCACCTGAAAACAGGATCAAGATCATGGGCAAATTCCGATGTTGAGATGCGTACGTACCCATGAAAGAAGGTGCGATGGCATAATGTACAAACGGCACATAGAATATGAGTCCGGCCACGATGAACAGAGCCGCGTACAGATACTCGATCTGGGGGTTTTCTATGATCGGCGCAGCGATCAGATAAATGGAGATCACCAGCACCACAACTGGAATGATGAGCGGAACCTGCAACAAATATGTGACAGGCGTTCTTTACGAAAGACTTGACACATGCGCCATATTCATTTTCATTTGCCTAGGTAAAAATCCAGCTAGTGTGGAAATGAAATAAGAGTGGATAATTAGGTTTGATAGATAAGTAGGTAAGTGTACAGATGGACAAACAGATAAGACAGATAAAGTGACAGACATACAGTGAACTGATTGAAAGTTATATAAGCTGATTATACCAAATGATAAGAAAAGCATAGGTAGACCATACAAAAGATGGAAGGCCCAATTTTGGATCGAATATCTTAGCTGGAACAGTTTCATAAGACTAATCAGTGATGATGATGACTACTTTGCTAGGTATTTTTTGAGACACACTGTGTCAAATTAATGGTTTGGAAAATGTCTTGTAAGAATACAAGGTGCAGTTATTTCTATTAGCGTATTTTTTGTTCAGTACATTCAAAAAGTTGTCACATTAAATTGAAGATTTTTCCGAATTTCCCAACACCTGTAAAAGATTGATTAACAGTGGTCTCATATATTTTGTATAATATATACGACTTTCCTCCGGAGATGATTCTAGTACCATTTTCAGGTGATTAGTTGTAACTATACTGACAGAAATTTTATTATTTTAGAGTTTCTGACCCAACCCTGAAGCCTTTCAATACCAAATGAAAGCCAGTTACTTGAAAACGAGAGATAATTCAACTCTCAGAACGTCGTGATTATTATTTTAAATTTACATTGTAACGACCATTTAATATTACAAAATTTTGTCATCTTCAAACGTTTTTTCTATGTCTAATGGACCCTTACACTACAAAGACGACATGCGTAAATATATTAATTATATTTGATACCATAAAATATGCTAAACGAAATGCAAATGTGCGTCTTTTGGAACGTCACGAGACTCCATGAAACATGAAGACGGTGAATGAATTTAGACTAGTCTTCAATGTTCGTTAGACACGTATTTATCTCGTCACTATAGCCGTTCCTTTCGTTAATTCATTTTTTCGCATCTATTTTTTTCCGTGATGTTGAGACACGTTTGACACGAGTCTGCTTATCTAATAATAGTAGACAACTTGCATGTGATTAAATTGCTCGTTAATACCCTACAGTGACAGCTGAAGTCACGAGACGCTACTCGGCGTATCAACTCGTAACCTTGCTGTCATCTCTTAACGAAATCTAGGGTTGAATATTAATAATTTCTGTTATAAAAGATTTCTCGCTTACGAATACTGAATATTTCTTATCTCATTTGACATTAGCAAAATTTGTGGTTTTCACGGCGGTGAGTCAGAAGATGGTTGACTTCTTGCTTGTTGCTTAGTGAGTCTGGTACAAGTTTACCGACGTTTCAGAGGTTGCTGCTGCCTTCACAATCAGGGAGATAGCCCTAAATAAATTGGATACGTTTACCATATAAAAAAAGAAGGGACGTATGCTAAATGAAATTCAGCACTGAAAAGGGTTAATGTTATTTATGCATAGGCGTAGTCTGCTACACGTCTAGCAGAAAAATTCGACAATTCATCACTTAGAAAAAAGTCAGTCACTAGGCACAATCTTGGCCCAGTTTCTTTCACCCCTGAAGTGTGAAAATGAACTGTTTATTCGCGAATGTTAACAAATTAAATAACCCACTCCAACCAAAAAATAACTTACAGTACATTCGTTTTTTCACTTCTACCAGATCAGAAGTAATGGTTATACCGCCGTGACTCGATCTCCAAGCCTTGTTTGTGAACACTTACCACGTGAAGATGAGGTCATCAGTTCTGTAAAAGATCGTTTCCGTAACGCAACTTACAACTTGCAGGTCATTCCGATAATCTGTCTTCTTATTCTAATTTTCCTCTCCGTATCCTTTTACAACCGCCACGGTGGTCTAGCGGTTAGAACGCTGGTCTTGTAATCCTGGGGTCCCGGGTTCGATTCCCGGTGCCCAAATTTATAACTTGTGGTCCAGGTATCACGGAGTTTTCCTCCGGGGCTTCCCCGGTTTCTCTGTGGCATCCCAACAATTACTTCACATTCATCATCATTTAAATACAGAAGAAGGCAATGGCAAACCACTTCTGAATCATAATTTCCGACAGAACACTAAAAATAAATAATAATCCTTTTACGATGACCACTATCTCAGCTTCTTACGTTTATCTGTGTTACCCATTACGATAAGAATTATGGGGAGCAGATGTACGTAAAACATGTGGACTTTGAGTTACGTGTACTCGTGGGCTATTATTAGTGTTGTTGACGTCAGAACATCTCGTGGTCTGTTAAATGAATGAGCCCGGTTGTCACTGAAAGAGGCGATTAAAAAATAGCATTCGTGTCGTAAGTAGTACACGTGTTTCCCGAAACTGTTTAAGATAACCTTGTTCTAAGGACAACATAACAGCAACGAAATAACAAAGTACAATTTATGTATCGAAATTGATTTGTTCACAATGATAAGTCACCGACATGCTACAACGACACGAAAGACCGATAATCTCGGAGAAAATATTTTAAACGTCTTTTGAGTGTCTGACTCCGTGTCGTTTCGGTGTGAACAAGCCGACGGAATTTCTTGGGCAAGTGAAATGGACGCAGAAAAAATATATAACGCGTCCTTTAATACCGAGAAATTCATATTCAAATTTTTGGACACAGTACGAACTAGCAATTAATGATCGTGTACTTTCCAATTTATTAATGTACCGTGTCGTGGCATTTTGTATCAATTCTTACTCAGCAGAAATTCCCTGTTTTTACAGTACCAGAAGCGTCATCATTCTTAACAATATCACTCCAGTGAATCTTGTTCTGAGCCAGTTTAAACACAGTTCAGATCTTCAGAGTTAATTTCCGTAAGGCATATAATCTTTTTAGTATTATCCTCCCACCTAGGCTCCTAAATGGCCTTTTTCCTTCATGAGTTTCGCGAAAAGAAATCGTTGACAGATGGTAAGACACCTTTCCTTCACGGCGTTTACGAAAAACCACACAAAGACAGACCAGAATGGGTAATGCTTTTAAGCAAGATACCTCGAGCATACCGCGGAAAAGTTATACCGCACAGGGGCCCACATACCTTATACGGCCGTGGGGCGTTGGGTTTGGTGCGTCGCATCACGATCAGTGCCAGCATTGACCCGCCATAGAAAATCCATGCGGTGAAGCTGAAGAAATCGATCAGGGAATCGATAGTGCCGGACATCACCATGGCTACCGCAATAAGTGACTGCACAGACAAATGAAAATCCAGTGACTTAATGTAAGATAAAAATTGAATTAGCAAAAGCGACAAAATGCCAACTGAGTAGATTAACCACATTTAGTTTCAAATGTTTCTGTTTGTTCATGTTTATTTTCCATTTCTTTATTTTCTATTCTCTTCCCGTTAATATTTTATAAATAGTTTGCATGAAGGGTATACAATTAAGACAAAAGTAAAGATCGTATCTGTCTGTCCCTCTATCATTTCGCATGTATCATATCTTACAACCCATTGGACGAATTGATATTTATTGTTATATTTCATTGCATTGTTAGCCAGCTATACTTTAAATCACTTTAGAACAAATACTTTTTGCTACGGTACCTCAAAAGTCCCGCCATATTTTTTCTACAAAAAGCACTGCTTTAGATAGGCATATATTCTTTTGAATACGAAATTTCTTGTGCTCAACTTTGACCTCAAAATGTATTCCTTTCACGAATTAATATCTACAGATTACAACTCACGTGGAATATGAGTCCTGGTGCAGGGGTGAACCGACGCACGTGTACATACGACAGGATGTCCAGGAGGTGACCCTCTCGGCTGGCGGCGAAACACAACCTGCGAGCCGAAGCCCTCATTAATGAAATGTTATTGTCTACTGGTCCCGATATATTAATGTGATAATGCACCGGTACATTAAAAGAAAATCTCGGCTATCATTCTCGCCTTTAAATTTTCGCGGCTGAAATTCTATGAAAACCTCGGCTTTCGGTGATGCGCAGCGTAGAGTGTTGTAAATTTTACGTTTTATATAGTTCCTCACCCTGAAGGTAGCATTTGCATTGTTTCATGAATCGATCGAATATTTGATGCGGCATATCCCTGAAAGCCGGAGTTTTACACTGTCATTTTTAGACACTCAAACAAATTAAGTGACTTTTTAATAAATTAAATTGTGATTTTTAACAAAAATTTTTGTGATTAGACGGACCAAATCCGAATAGTTAATTAAAAATTTACAACAAAAACAGCCATTTACTATTTTATTTAAACTCTCGGCACAAAAGTGTTATCCCAAAACACGCAATATGCTTCTGGTGACGTATTTGCAGACGGCGAAAGCCAATTCAGATAACTGGTGACCTCAGGTTTCTATGAAAGCTAACAAATTTCTTCGAACTCATTATCCAGGTCTCTACCTCGAGACCCTAGGGGCATGCTCACCTTCCCGCAGCGAAAAGCGTTCCGTTAGCTGATCCGAATGTTGACACTGTGACGGATAGGGGCATCAACCAGGCCATTACCCCCAAGATGCGTTTGCCGAAAGTCTGCGAACACAGACGCATGATTAAAGGCTCCATACACGATCGATTAAAACGTTCAAATTAACTGTGTCACGTTTTAACTGTGATAAAATAATGAATAAACAGCGCATTTCACACACTTTAAAAAGGAGTATTTAAACAACTAAGATTTTCAGTTTAATTAATTTGTATATTTATTTAACACAGTTTAAATTCGAATTTTAACTGATCGTCTATCGACTACAGGACGCTACGACCCAGAAGACAGCCATCTTCGGGCACCGCTGTGAAAACCTCAATGCTTCAAAGCAGTATGTTCCTCCAAGACGCTGGTGCCAAACTTACAAGTCCAGAAGACGTCACATTCCACCGACGACATTTGAAGGTTGTGTTTATCAGAACACGAGTAATATTTTTTAGTTTTCTTTAATCAAAATCGTACGTTCTGTACGGCGGTATTTCATATTATGGAGTCGGTCCAGAGAGTCAATTTCATTCTGTTACTTACCACAGCCACTGCTTCTGATTCGATGAGCTCAATGCCAGACATGACTGTCAGGTAGGAGATATTGATGAGAGCATAGCACATCGTCACCAGGGGGATGCCGATTATGATAGAGCGAGGAAGGTTCCTGAACAAAAACCATTCAGATGGCTTATAATTGCGAGTCTCCTGAACAAAATATTATAGCACCCAATACTACATCAACTCCCACTCTATTGCATTACAACAGAAAAAAATCTCCATTCAATCAAACATTCTTTTGTTGTTAATCATGTAAAATATTTCATGTGTTTTAGTTCTTAGATTTATTACAGAAACCGGCAAAGAGATTATCTGCTGTTACAAAACATTACCAAACATTGGCGATAAAATACAAATATTTATAAATTAAATCCTGATTTAATTTGTTTACATATAAGACTTCCTCGAAGTAATAAAACGTATGTTCAATATCACAAGGGCCAAAATATTTATTTTGTAATATGAGGTAATATCTTAAACAAGTGGCTTCCTGAAACGATATTCTGCATGAAACAATGTTATAAAATTATTACACTAAATATTAAAGTAAGGAATATAAGCTAAAATTCCCTCGGATAATAAATTCCTCAACTTCCATTGAATCCGAAGGAATAATACCCTTTTCTGAGTAAGATGAATCCAGTACACACCCAACCCCCCCAACTTCTTTAGGAAACATTTTAATATTGTCCTCCCATTTACGACTAAAAATACCATATAACCTTCCATTCAACTTTCTGAACTAATATTCTGAATTTAACATCTATCGCAAGCGTCCTACATGTTCCACCCATCTTATCTTCCATCATGATTTCATCATCATAATAATCTGATCAAAGAGAAAAAAATATTAAGATCTCAAC